CCAATCAACTATGCAGAAGGATCGGGGACCAACGGAAACCGCCAAGAATAAAAAACTGCGTGAAAAATTAAATCGTTCCGCGCCTTACCAATTGTATTAAAATCAAAGCGAAAAGAGAAAGCTTCTGAGCCGGGGCCCAATTGGACGTATTTATGCTGAAAGGAACTATGTTGCACGCAAACCTTATGGACATAATTCCTTCTAGCTTAAATACTTCCAATTGGCCACCTAGCAAGAAGTAGCCATAGCTCTGCCACCGCCAAAATTGCCCGCGCAGTTCTTTGTAATAGTGCCTACCGCCCAAAACGCGAGAAAAATGCACAGTGTCTCAGGGCAATAATTGAAAGATTTTAATTTGGAGGTTTCTGTCCGGGCGAAATCACAACTTAGTCCCAAAACCGGATTCTTCGTGGCGACTGGTGAAATCCTGTCATGAACTAATTTGATTACATTTTGAAATTTGGAAGTACTATTTTTGGCTCATTTTAGAAGTAACATGAGTTTCTCTGTGCAAATAGGTAATTCCATGGATGATGGATGAGCCAGAATGAGTCGTAGTTCCTTTATACAAAATGCGGTCTAATTGTCTATTCTCATATCTATTCTATTGTCTAATCTACAGTGTGTGGGAAATGGTATAAAATAAATCATCAAATAAATCAATGAATTATTACCTTACAACGGCATTATGATTAATAGGTATTTTACAACGGCATTATGATTAATAGGTATTTTGGACGTGCACAGCAGAATGTATGTTTAAAAACTATGAATCCATCAATTCCGGTGATTTCGGTGCGAATTTTTGCTTACAATAACTTACCATTCCTTGAGCAAAAAATGGACAATCATCGATATCCCCTGTTGTATTTATGCTGTATAGCTTCTGATTATTTCTGTTTAGGTATGCATGGATGTTAAGTTTTCGTAAAGCTTTTTTTTTTTTTTTTTTTTTTTTTTTTTTTTAATTTCGTATAATCAATGCAATGAAGCCATTCCATCTTCGCTTACAGGTTGCAGGCACTCGACAATCGCTAGGAATTTCCAAGCGACTTCCATGCTGTGTTTTGATAAACCGAGATAATGCGAATTAGTAAAATGATAGCTTGATGGGTGATAACCTTTGAAAGCATGATCTTGACTTGAAGCGCCTTCATATTCTGTGATTCTCTACGCTTTATCACTGAGTTATTTTCCAAACTCAACTACGGTCATGAGTTTTACTACACATGCTCCTACGTGTGACTTCTATTACCATGTTTTTACGGAGGAAAAATGGACGTATTTATGCTAAAAGGAACTAGAGACAGAAAAGATGGGGTGTGCTCGTAAACGCTGCATAAGGAACAATGTAAAAGTATGGGCGTAATGCCTTTTGGGAAAATGGAAAAATGTGATTTTGCAATAAATCAAAAGGTATTAATAACCAAATTATGTTTACTCATGAGCCTTGGGCATGTGACAAGAGCGTTGTGGACGGAGCTCATGAGTGAAAGACCAACGACCTCGTCGTTATCGTCGCTGTTGACGTCACTGGCGCTTTATAATTCTCATTCATTCTTACGGCCGTTAAATAACAAACATACCCCTTCTCTCCCACTCAACACTAGTTTCTTTCAGCATAAATACGTCCAAATAAGTGTCTATTCACACTTACAGCAAAATAATCAGTAATTTAATTTATTTCCGATTTTAATGTTTTTCTAACTGTTCACCACGGTGGTTTGCAAATTTCTGACGATCGCCCATTGGTTGAGACCTATACAAGGAATAAAGCATTGATAAACATCACATTTTTGGCTAACTTTGATACCCACGAGGAAATATGATTGAATACCCTGATACCTGATAAATTCTACTATTTTTTATGTTACCTCTTTCATAAAACTTGAAAACTTAAACATATTGCTTGTCCTCAACACAAAATAGCCATTTGTTTCAACTAAAGCGGAATCTGCCTCCTCGCGCCGAGATNGGGGGGGGGGGGGGGGGGGGGCAAGAGGTCCTACCAAAATCTGGCGCGCCTCAGGAAAGGGTCAAAACAGCCACGAACCTGGCTGAACCAATCACTTTTTTCTTTATTCATGATCGATTTTCAACGAACAGGTAGATCCGCGAAACGAGAGATGAGTCCTTTCTGCTCAACGCAGCCTCCGGAACAACGCGAATGACACGACAGAAAAACGAATCCCTCTTCTCCCGCCCCGCGGGGAGGGAACAGGGGCCCCCCGGAGCGAAAAAAAGAGGGAAAAAAACGCTCAATACCCACGACTGAGATGAGAGCGATCATTCTGGTTGGGCGGTAATCGGCGGAAGGTGGAGCGCCGAAATCGGAGGCGAGAAATGGACAAGCGGATGAGATGAGAATAATCGCGGAAAATGGCTCCTGGGATGTGAAAAATCACCGGCACCGCGGCTCAGGAGCCCGAAGAAAGACGGGCCGGAGAAAACGAGGCGCGAGAGGTGGCCAAGCGGATAGTCCGCGCCGTTCTTCGCGTCGACGTCCGATTGCCCGCGAAAATCGTCCATTCGACGTCGAGTCGTCATAGGACTCAGAGCAAATCGAACAATCTATTCCTAAACCTCGTAGAGTAAACGCACACTGCACTAAAAAAAGTTACGAGCTCCATATAGCTCGTAACTGTACCATACCGGCTGTTCCGGACTCAGAGGCCGAAAGTTCCGGGTGCTGCGCCCAAACTTTTGGCCTCTAAGCCCGGAACGCAGATGGTATGTCTACACTGAAAAAAAACCCGGCCTTGGGAGCCGCAATTACGGGCTATATAGACATACCGTCCGTTCCGGGCTCAAAGGCCGAAAATTCCGGCTGCTGGGGGCTTAGCTTCGATTGCTCCGGGTTCAAAAGCTGAAGCTACGGCTCCAGCAGCCGGAATTTTCGGCCTTTGAGCCCGGAACGGACGGTATGTCTATAAATCCCGTAATTGCGGCTCCCACGGCCGGACTTTTTTTTTCAAAGTATGTAGCCCGTAAGTACGGATTCCACGGTCGGAGTTTTTTTTCCGGTGCACACTGAGAATAAGTTCGGTAACAGATACTGCACTTCGGTTCATATGGAACACAGAGGTGGATCAAGGCACCCACGAACGTAGGGGCGTAAGGCGTAAGGGGGGTTCGGGGGCCACCCTCAGAAAATTTTTAAATTTTTGAAGCATATGATATGCAGTTTGGGTGCGTTCCGCCATGAGGAGTCTTCAAATTTAAGCGTGTTCTTTCCTACTTCTTTCCGCCTCTTTTTCGGGCGAACGAGGGCGGGGGGTGCGAAATCGTGAAAATTTGTGCACGTAGAATAAAAAAAAGATCCTCATTTGGATCGCGTCAAACAGAATGGGACTAAGCCACATCAACCAATGCTATTTACTCGGGCAATTTAATTTTGTACATGGAAACGGTTATGCGGATTTTCGTGCAAATCTCAGTGAATTTGCTGCATAGTGCGATGCAAATTCCTCGAAATTTTCGAAGAAAACTGCCCAAAAACTATATTTTAAAAAATTAAATTGCCCGATTAAAATTGGCAATAGCTGATATGGCTTGGTGCCTCTCTGCTAAACGCAGTCCATTTCAAACTCTTCGAGAAAAACGGAGTTTTTCAAATGGGCCGAGCTTATCATTAAGGCACCAAATTGTATCAAGTTTGAAACGAGAAAAAGGGGTTTGAAGTGTTCGTCTTCCATGAAACTCAACCTCAAGGACTAACTGTAAGGATCATTTTCACGTTCAGAACCTTTCAACCTCGATTTTTCGACGGGAGGAAATTCACGTCCAGTTGAGTTAAAAAATACTCCCAAATAGCAAACATTGGCGAATATTTCCGATTAAAAATTAACGAAAGAAACCGCATTAACAACAGAGCCACCGAGAGAAAAGATCGGTAGAATTTACCATTCCTCCACGCTGTATTTTACACAGCGTGAATTCAAAGTGGTTTCTGCCAGAGGAATGGTCACTTGCATCAGTATATAGTAACGTTTACCTTATTTCTTCTGGCAGAATTGACTCTGAATTGACGCTGTGTGAAATACAGCGTGAAGGGGTGGTAAATTCTACCAATCTTTTTTCTCGGTGCTGTGCCATATTTCATGTCGTCATCATAACAACACAGGAGGAACACAACACAACACGAAAAACATAATAAAATTATGACATATTAATAATTAAAAAATACATTAGGAAAAAAATACAGGTTCTCAAAAAATGGTAACCTAAAGTTTGTTATAGATGAACGGTACTAGTCTCATGAAAATAAAATTTCTGGTTCGATGATAGTACACGGAGAAAAATGGAACCGCGCTGAGTACCAGAAGATGGACTCCAGCACATGGTCCCGGACGGCGATTTTGCTCCAACATTTCTTTTGCACTTGAGCGCAGCCATCCGGATGTGCCTAGCACAGTTTCGGCGGATGCACCCAGGTGCGGAATCTATGTACCCAGATGCGGAAATTCATGCCCCTACGTACAGTTTTGCCTGTGGTCAGCGCGGGGAGGGGGCGGAGGCGTTATATTGGGAGGGGCGACCCCCCTCCCCCAGCCCTTACCCCTTGAGGAGGGGGAGGTTGCTTTGTTCTATTCTTTTGTTAACAGTGAGGATGAAAAAGAAAACAAAAGAAAAAACCTGAGCACAATTTTAATCTTTAAAAAATCTTAAAATTTCTTCACCATTTTAATTTGTCTCCTCTAATGTTTTTGGTGTTACATGTTACAAGTTATAATGAGGAGGAAAACATGCTCATCAACATGAAAATTTTGACACTTGAAGGACCTTGTTAACTTCTACTAGGTATTTTATTTTAAAAAAAACTGAAAAATCACGGAGGAAAAATAGAAAAGTGGAACAAAAATATAGAACGGAGCGAGTACCTAGGAGATATGGGATAAAAAATTAGATACCTAGAAGTGAAAAAAAAGATAATGTCGAAGAAATAGGCATGCTGCAAAAGCAGATCACTGGAAAGGAGACATGAAAGATGAAGGAACTCACCGAAACAGGATAATGCAGGCCTAATGAGGTCATATGTTGAGAAATCTTGTGGACTGAGACACTATTCAGGGCATGGGCATTTGAAATCTTTTGACAGGAATTCCATTTCACAAAACCAAACCATTGTAATGATTTCCACTTTACGGAGACATCACTGATTCTTGTGAATTAGGATACCTCGAAAACCGTCACTGAGTATTTGAGGTTATGCGCATTTTAAATCTTATTCACTGAAATGAGTGTAATGAGACACAGGAACCTACTTTTAACTGAAACTGCTTAAAGCGGCTTAAATGTATGCTTAGCAGGTATTGTGTAAAGGCTTCATTTATAATCAGGACTCAATTCAAAAAAATAAATGAGTTGTTTCTTTGTATCAAATTACCAATGCAAGTAACTAGTATATTTCACAGCGGAACTTATCGGTAGAACAAGGCACGAAAGGAGGGAGCACTAAGATATCCAAATTCTATTTTTCATCTCACACAATAAGAATGCAGAATCAGGCAGATAAAAGTACAGCACAAACTTTGATTGGAAGGTATATTTTGTTTAAATGAGCAAGCAAAACGTACCTTTCAACATAACATGTGCTGAGACATTGCATGTACAATATTAAATATATGTATGAATGAGTAGAAGACTAATTAGAATTTGTGTGAAAAGAAGAAAGAACTCACTGAAAATTCACTGGGTCAAGACAAAATGCTGAACTGAAACGCGATAAAACTTGGAGAGATCATAGGCACAGCTGGCACACCGCACACAGAAGCTTTGAATCTTTCAAGCTCACTTTATTCCTCCCGAGTAGATTATTTATGTTGATGGAAAATCAGTGGGTCAAAAAACACACTTTCATACGACTCCGAATCAAACCGCAGGCACACACACAGATAAAGAGATTAGAAACGACCAAACGAGAAACGACACCAGATTCGCGCAAACTCAAAACCGTTACTCAGCATTTTTGTCGACCTTGGTGCCGCGGCGGCGCCGTTCGGAAATGCACGTACACACCCCGGCGTCTATGCGCATGCGCTAGACCGAGGCGAAACAGTTGTTGCGGCAATTTTTTCGTCGGGCGTACCAAGGGTTCAGCACAGTTCCGTACATGTCGTTGGGACAGAGCAAAAAATTCGGCCCATGCCTTAAACGCATCCATCCCCAGATGTTCACACCACCTTAGATGTGCTCTAACGCATTCTTACCGGACACAGCCGGCAACATGTTCACAACGCTGTTCCATTTTTCTCCGTGTACCCGTATCATTTTTACCAATAAAACATAATTTATTAATTGAAGCAAAAAAAAAAAAAAAAAAAAAAAAAAAAAAAAAAAAAAAATTGGGAATGCTTTTTCGTGTGCGTGTAAGACATGCTGACGAGTACAGGCTATTATTTGCAAAGCACTGCCGTGATATTTTACAATTCTATAGAATCTTAGTATAGTTATACCTATTAGAATTGATACAATGAGTAAATCCATGATCCTGGTCAGTGCATAGGAGTTTTCGGAGAGAAGGTTACGGAAGATGAATCGGTACAAAGTGACGGGGAGCGTGAAAGGCTCAGCACGCACGTCTTCGTTAGCACTCGTTCGCCTTCATTTTGCGAGGTAGACAAGAAAACATCCTGCATGCCGCAATAGTTATCTCCTTGCAAAATGCAGGCCCCGTCCTCTGCACTGATTATTTGGAACGTACGTGAAGATATAGGAGCACACCTGGCCGCTACAATGTCCAGTCCCCAGAGGGCGCTTCGCGCTTTCTAAGGCCTACTTCGCGGGCCCCCGCTTATTTATATTTATTTTGTTAAAACTTTATAATCTACGATGAAGACAAAAATGCCATACATTATTTTGAAACGTTAATGTTCCTACGACATTCGGTAAATACACCGAAAAAAATAATATGCTGTTTTAGCACCTAGGATGTCAAAAATGTGTCTGGTGATCTCAAGATGCTACCTCTACTGCCTTCACAGTTAACTTTACATCCTATGAATGCAAATTCAACTGCGTGGGCAATCAAGGTAGCATTTTAGGATTACTAGACACTTTTTTGACATCCTAGGTGCTAAAACAGCATACCTTTTTTTTCAGTGTAATTCATCGTTTCACATCCAGAGGTGTCGATAACGTTTCTCTTCTTTCTCCTTATAAATCCGGCATCATTCTACGTTGGGGCACACGGTAGAACGTTTC